TAATATTTTCAGTATTAAATTCAAATTTATTTTGCAACTAATTTTTATGTTAATCATATATGTATACCTTTTTTGATGTAGAGAGTGTATAGTAAAATAAAAAGAGACTAATTGAAAATTTAATAGAATTTATTGTTATTCTTTTTTCAGAAATGTCATAGAGATTCTGAATGGAAAAATGTTGTAGACCTTCCAGCACCTCTTCTTTGTCGTTGGGAAGAGTGTTTAAAACGTTTCAGGAATTATCAGTTATATTTGTATCATGTAGCTGCTCACATTGAGGAAGGCCCAAGGGGTAACAAAGTTGAAGGAGGGTTAGAATGCAAGTGGACGGGTTGCAGCAGCTTATATCCTAATTTATACAAATTAAGGGATCACATACGGCGTCACACAAAAGAAAAAATTGTTGGTTGTCCTGATTGTGGTGCTACTTTTGCTTCTAATACAAAATTTTTTGTACACTGCAAACGACAGATTCCAATTGATGGTAAAATTTAATTTAAAAGTACTACTAATTTATAACTATGCAAATAACTTGGTCTAATTGTTATTAGTTCAGGGATTCCAGTGCTCTCACTGCAATAAATTTTATCCCACTGAAGGAATTTTGAGGGATCATGTGAGACTTCACGTTTTTAACTATAAATGTAGCCTTTGTGATATGAGCTGTGAATCACCAGCTAGTTTGGCTAAACATGTTAGATATCGACATGTTTCTACCAGGAGTTTTCCCTGTCAGCTTTGCAGTCATGCTGCCAAATCTCAACAAGATCTAGATTCCCACATGACAGTTCACACAATTGGACCTAATTTTTCATGTCACTTTGAAGGATGTCTATATAAATGCAAGGGTGCATATACTCTTGATAGGTACATGAATTAAGTTTTTTATTTAAATATGAAAAAATGAAATGAAAATTAACTTATATTATTTTTATATGTTAAACTTACATTATTTCAAAAAAGACATTCAAGGAAATTGTATTTCAAGGCATATTGAACGAGTTCACTGTATGCAAGTACGATGGTATTGTTGCCATGAATGCCCAATAAAATATAGAAAAAGCTATAGGTTGACAAAGCATTTAATTGAGGCACATAGATTGCAATTACCTAGTGGTCATACAAGATTCCAATACACTCATGATGAAGATGGTTGCTATAGATTACAAATGGTTAGATATGAAGCCATTGAAGAAGAAAACAATCCTTCTATAAATCAACCAAAAATACAGGATAGAAGATTTAAGATTAAATTAAATAAAAATTCTAGTATGCCCCAAATTGAGGTAATATCTTCATTTAGCTAGACAATAATATTTGTTCAATTTTTAAATATGTAGTACATTATTTATTTATTAGATTCTTGAAGATTTAGATGAACAAGGGGAAGAAGATGAAGAAAAAGAAACAGAAAAGAAGTCAGAAGAGAAAAGTTATGAAAGAAAATCGATGCCCGTTATTTCAAACATTCTAATATCTATTGATGAAACTGATGCTGAAGGAAATATAATTAGAAGTAGAACTGTAGAAGCACAGGAAACTATGGAATTACCACCTTCTGAAGGACCACCAATAATATTAACATAGAAAAAAATGAAGTTCAATAGAAACCAAATATACTTTTTATTTAAGAAAAAAATGCTAATAATTTGTATATTTTAGTACATTAGTCCACTCCTTTTATAAATGAATGCTTTACAGATACTTTACAAAACTTATTCATTTTGGAATGTAACAATTCAAGATTAGGTTAGATATAAATTAAACTATCTATATATTAAGTTC